CTAGATTGGGAAGAATGCCTGGAGAAGGAAATGGCAACTTGCTTCAGTATTCTTGTCTGAGAAATCCTGTGGGCAGGCTACATACAGTCCTTGAGATCACAAGAGTCAGGACTTAGCGACTAAACACCACCAGTAAGCCATGTAAATCTTACTTACTCATATATTGTTGATTGTCTTTGTCCCAGTATTGGAATTCTAAGCACTTTCAGAGATGAGTTTGGGCAGGGGTGGGCATGGGAAGAAAGATGTCTTTCTTCCTGTACCCCCAGCACCTAAAAAATGTTGATGAATGGGGAAATGATGGCTTGATTTGAATGAATGAAAGCAAGAACAAAGAGTAACTGGTTCTAACTTTGTTGTTCAGTCGCTCATTCATGTCTGACTCTTTTGGGACCTCATGGACTGCAGCGCGCCAGGCTTCCCTGTTCTTCACCACTTCTCAGAGCTTGTTCAAACTCACGTCCATTGAGTCAGTGATGCCATCCAACCATCGTATCCTCTTGTCATCCCCTTCTCTTCCTGTCTTCAATCTTTCCCAACATCAGGGTTGTTCCTAATGAGTTGACTCTTTGTATCAGATGGCCAAAGTATTGAAACTTCATCATCAGTCCTTCCAATGAATATTCAGGACTGATTTTCCTTTAGGATTGGCTGGTTTGATCTCCTCACAGTCCAAGGGACTCTCAAGAGTCTTCTCCAACACCATAGATCAAAAGCATCAATTCTTTGGCACTCAGCCTTCTTTATGGTCCAGTTCTTATATCCGTACATGACTACTGGAAAAACCATCGCTTTGACTAGACAGACTTTTGTTGACAAAGTAATGTCTCTGTTGGATCTGACTAAGTCCTAGTTCTGCCTTGCCTTGGCCTATTGACATGACCTTCAACCTGTATCCTCCCTGGGTCTCTAAAATGATGGAGAATAAATGGTCCCTTCTAGGATTTTTAAAGCTTTCAGAGGAGGATGTCTTTGTAGTCTCCCAGATGCTTTTTGGAAATGATTTGGTAGTTTAAGGGAAAAAAATTTCCCTTTGAAAAATACTGTCTGTTATCTTGACCTACTTTCTCACCTAAGAAAAATTTATGGTGTAACTTTATATCTAATAGATTCATTTAGGCTCCTAGCTTTAATTAATAATTTAATATTTTCTCAGTAAATGGGAGAGAGTTTTTTAATTTAAAACTCAAAAAAAATTATTATGCATTTCCTTTCTTGGTGTATGAACTCTGCTATAAATATGGGAGATACGAAAATATTTGTATTTTATCTTAAGTCTTCAAGGATCTTACCAATTAATTAACATTTAAACAGCGAATTGAGGCAACAATAAATGAAATAAGTAATTTGGCCTAAGGTTCTGCTCTGGAAATGAGGTTTAAATATACAGGATGTAAAGATAAAATCATGAAGCTTTAAAAAGTCTGGCAGTGTGGATAAAGAAAGTAAGGGACTTAGTTAACCAGGGACATTTTCTTGGAAGGATCTGAGACTTGGCTTTGACAGGCTCTTTGAAAGGATGTGTGACATTTTGGATAGATAAATGGAAGAAAAAGGCAGAAACCGGCATGAGCAAAGACATAAGAACAGGTAGTGAGTGGGTATATTTATCTACTACTTTGTAATAACACCCACCTCTCAACACCAACAACTTCGTACATATTCAGACATTCTCTAGGAGATAATGTGATTAGTGTCCAACTGTGAAAGTAGTTGGAGATAGCTAAATAAGGTAGGGACAGATTATGGAGGACTTTAAATACCAAGATGAGTTTGGGCTAGCTTTATATAGGAAATGGGGAGGTGGTTTGGGCTTTTAAGCAGCAAAGATGTTGAATGCTGTATTTTGAGAAGGGAATGTTGTGCAAAATAAAAATAGCTGCTTTTTTTTTTTTACAAACAGTTTTTACTTTGAAATGGTAAAGTTTGTGAAGTCTATTTTATGCCTGTGATTAAAACAAGAAAATATTTTGCAGAGAAGTTTTTAACCAGAGAAACCCCATTCTGAAGGCTAGGGCCAATATTTCTTGCTGTATTAATAACCTCTCCCTCTTTCTGAGGAGTCTGTACCTCATAGTCTATATAGGCTAGGTATAGTCTTATTCCAGAATAGAATAAGTTGTTTCTGTTGTTTCTCTTACTGGAGATGGGGGCTGGGGGTTCTGTTTTCCTTTCCTTTCAAGCTGAGGTAAAATTCCATTGTTCTTTATAGGCTAACCAACACCCTATCCCTCCAACTCTTGCCATTATCTTTACATCTTTTTCGTAGAGACTTGCGTTAGGAAGAACCCCAGCGACAGGATCATCTGGTTCATTGGCTCACAAGAGCCTATGTCATAATGACCTGAGGAGCTCCACTTGATACAGTCAAAATCTTTAGGCCCTAAAATCTATGTTTTAGGATGTTCTCTAGGAGATTCTGATGCTGAGTCAAATGATTGAGTCTAGTATTTTTCAGTTCAGAGCTTGCACTAGGACTTACAGGGAAGCTTTTTAAAAACAGAATACCCAGCTCCTTACCCAGAGACTCTTAGTTGATTTGATGTTGAATCTGGGCAGCTATAGTTTAATAAGGTTTCCTCCAAGTGATTCTAATTCAGACTTTCCACTTAGAGCCTCTTAATCAGTCAGATCTCCTTATTTTCTCAACTAGAGAGCCAGAGACGCAAAGCCTGGTCTCTTGCAGTCCAGTCTTTGTGTTACACTGCATCACAGCCTGATTCTGCCCGCCTCTGCGTGCATTCACGGAAGGTTCATTTGTGTTGCTTTGTTTAGTTTTCAAAGTAAGCTGTTTGGTTGGTACAAAAGTAATTGTGGTTTCAAACCATGAATTTTAAATCATTATAACTAGGCTCAAACACATCTTTATTACTCAAAATAGGAACCATTACAATCAACACATTTTTGCCAACAAGAAATAAGTTTATTCCTGTAACGTAAAAAGCCGTGTTTTGGGATTCAGTGAACTCTTGGAAAGCATTTTCTGCCTCCTGCTGGTTGTGGAAGTGTTTTCCCTGCAAAAAGTTGTTGAGATGCTTGAAGAAGTGGTACTTAGCTGGTCACGTAGTGAATATGGCAGATGAGGCAAAACTTTGTAGCCCATTTTGTTCAACTTTTGAAGCATTGGTTGTGCCCTGTGCAATTGGGCCCATTCTGTTGACCAGTGCTAGCTTCAGGCATTGCAGTTTTCATTGCATCTCTTCAATTTGCTGAGCATACTTCTCAGATGTAATGGTTTCACCGGGATTCAAAAAGCGTAGTGGATCAGATGGGCAGCAGACCACCAAACAGTGACCATGACCTTTTTTTGGTGCAAGTTTGGCTTTAGGAAGTGCTTTGGAGCTGCTTCGGAGAAGGCAGTGGCACCCCACTCCAGTACTCTGCCTGGAAAATTCTATGGACGGAGGAGCCTAGTGGGCTTCAGCCCATGGGGTCGCGAAGAGTTGGACACGACTGAGCGACTTCACCTTCACTTTCCGCTTTCTTGCATTGGAGAGGGAAATGGCAACCCACTCCAGTGTTCCTGCCTGGAGAATCCCAGGGACGGGGGAGCCTGGTGGGCTGCCGTCTGTGGGGTCGCACAGAGTCGGACACGACTGAAGCAACTTAGCTTGGAGCTGCTTCTTGGTCTAGCCACTGTACTGGTCATCACCGGTTGCCATATAAAACCCACTTTTCATCACACGTCACAGTCCAATCAAGAAATGTTTTGTTGTTGCATAGAATAAGAGAAGTTGACATTTCAAAAACGTTAATTTTTTTATTTTCAGTTAGCTCGTGGGGCACCCACTTAGGAGACTTTTCACCCTCCCAATTTCCTTCAAATGCTGAACAACTGTAGAATGGTCAGTGTTGAGTTCTTTGGCAACTTCTCGTATAGTCCTAAGAGGATCAGGTTCGATGATCCTCTCAGTTGGTCGTTGTCGCCTTCCGATGACCGACCACTGTGCTCCTCATTCAAAGCTTTCCTTTGCAAAACTTCTTGAACCATCACTGCACTGTACTTTCATTAGTAGTTCCTGGGCCAAATGTGTTGTTGATGTTGTAAGTTGTCTTTGCTGCTTTACAACCCATTTTGAACTTGAACAAGAAAATCGCTTGAATTTGCTTTTAACCTAAAATCATTTCTATAGCCTAAAATAAATATAAAATAAATAGCAAGTGATAAGTCATTAGCAAGAAAACATAAAGTGAGAAATGCACATTAAAATAATGTATATAGTAACCACATTTAAGAATGTTTTCCAGTATAAAATGGCAAAGTTCAGCAATGCAAAATAACGATTACTTTTGCACCAACCAAATAACTTCTGCCTTTAAAACCAAGCAGGGCCCATGCTGGCTATGGAGAGGATTTATGGAGTCATTTACATTTTCTTTTTATATTTTTTATTATCTGGGATGAATGTAAAATCTGAACTTGAAATTGTGGAGCAAGAACCTAATCTAGAGTTATGCTTGTGAGACGTGTGTTTGGAACAACTTTGTAAGTTTTTGGTTTCTAATATACTTACGGGGTAGAGACTGTTACACCTTTGTTTCACCCAGTGGGTGTGGTTGCTCAAATATAGTTGGTTTAGCTCCTCATTGTAATACTTCTAGTTCTGTCATCCTTTAGCCACATTTGTGATCAAGTTAACTAGAAAAACTGCATTGCTGCTGTTAATATGGTATAGTCTGGTTGATGATATAGGATAAGATACCATATTCTCAAAAAGACTCCAGATCTGGAAAGATGCTACAAGCCATGTTGGTTTGAACATTCATTTGGAAGAAAGGGGAAGCTTGGGTTTGAGTCTTAGGCCTTACTCATGGCTACTGCTAGGCTTTTGTTGAAGTCACTCTTGGGAGAGCAAAGCTGTGCTGGTGGTCTATTTTGTTTCAGAACCATAGGATAAAGGGCCTCTGATAAACCAATCCCCTGCCCCTAACTCTTGATATTAACTCCAATTGAATTTGTAACTTACACCACTTAAGCTGTTTTTCTGTCTGCCCTGCAGGGGTTGATAGTTCTTGGAGAGGCGCCTCCCCCAGAGCACACAACAACAGACTTTCTTCTTCCATTTAGTTCTGAGGTGAAGACAGATCATGGGAATGATAAACTGGTAAGTATAAAAGACAGAAAGGGGGAAATGAGGGAGAATTTGGGGTATAGCTTCAGCACAGTTATTATTACAGTGGCTGAAGGAGGGTGACTGTATCCTCTTTTATAACTTAAACTCTGAATTCCTGAAAGGGCAGCGCGGGGTCTCTCATGCAGTTGTGTAGCCGACTTTAAAATTTTTAAAGCAGCTTCTAACTTCCAAGACAGCGCAGCCAGAGCAGGTATGGCATTATGGAACATTACTGGAAATTAGGAGACCGTGCGGCTCTGATGCCTTTGACAACTAAGGTAACTGGAAATTTAACTTACAAAGATGTTGAAAATGCTGTCTGAATTACCCCTTTAATTCTGTAGTGAAGATGAAGCTGTTGTTTTTTCATAGTCTTTTGTATCTTTAGAGCCTAGGTCAAACCTCCATCTTAATGATTCCTTGCCTTTTTCTATTTCTCCAACACCAAAATTAATTTTTCCTTCTGAATTCCAAGACGAGTTTTATTTCTTTCATTTTTAAAATTTTCCCCATCTTGTTTTTTATTTGATCTAAGGAAAACAAATAGGTATGTACATGAATGAAATGGCGTTTAGACTTACAGAAAAGTTGCAGAAGCAGCACAGGCCCCTGCATCCTCCTTCTTCACCCGGCTTCCCCTGGCGTCGACAGCTTGCATAGCCATTGTTCAGTGTCCAAACCAAGAATTGGCATCCACACAGACTACAGGTTTTATTCCCCTTTCACTCATTTTTTCATTTATGTGTGCTCATGCCCCTCTCCCTATTGGTCCAAAATCCCACATTCCATATAGTTGTTAGAGCTCATCCAGTGTGTGAGAACACCTCAGTTTTTGTCTTTCATGACCTTGGCACAACCGTGCTGGTAAGTTATTTTGTGTGATGTTGCTTAGATTGGAGTCACCGCGTGTTTTCCCATTAAAGGTTATGCCTTTTTTTTTTTTTTTTTTTTGCAGTAATATCATCGAAGTGATACTGTCCCCTTCTCAGTATACCATTTTAGGGGTACATGATGGTGGTGATAGCTTTTTCACTTGGTTAAGGCAATAACGTGCCAGTAAAATTAGTATTTTTCCTTTATAATTGACTATGTCACGGAGGGACGCTGTGCATTTTTCTGTTGCTTATTATATTTTAATCCACATTTTATCATCCACTGGTAGATTTTACCTGCAAAATTACTGCAGTGATCATTACTGTGGTGTTGACTAAATGGTGATTTTCTATTTTCCACATTTGTTCATTGGAATTCTGCTAGGAAGAGCTGTCTTTTCTCCCTCATTTGTTTATTTAGTTGGTTAGTCAGTTTATTTCAGAAATGTTTTTATGGTTGTTAATTTTATTTTATGAAAATAAATAATAAAATTATTAACTACTACTGTTTTTCATTATTCACTTCCAAGTGTCTCAGCTTTTGGCATAGGGACCTCTTTTCAGATTGGTGCCCATGTCCTTTCAATGTTCCCCCCCTTGTATTTTAAGTATTCACTTTCTCCACCCAAAAATATCCCGGACTCATCTTGTATTGTACTTATTCCAGCCCTGGTTCTTTTTTTTGGAGACGAGATGTTTGAGACTACAATCTGGATACTTCTTATGCTCACTGCTACTTAGCGTCATTGCTTCTATCTGAGACTTCTCAACACAGTTAGGAAATACATTAAATACACATATATATTTTGCTTTCTACCCGTCTGTATATGCACTCAAAACAATGAGTTTATACTAATACCAATCTAACATCAATCCCTTCCTCCTCTCTTTCCATACCAATCTAACACCAGTGTCTTTCTCCTTCCTTACTGATACTTATTTGTTCAGTCCTAGTACCATATAAAGTAGTTTCAAAATTGCTATCTTATACTCCTGTGAGAAATATCTTTATTAACTAGAGTACAATATTGTATACAGTACATTAGCTCAATGATACACAGTCAAAATAACTATTTCCAGAAGTTACGTTAGTTCTTTTCCTCGTCACACCTTTCAGTATGAGTATGCAGTTATTTTGTAATACAGTTAGGTTCTTTTGTTACTATAGTATTTCACTTCTTGTTGCCCATACACACACAGTAGTTGATATTTATTAGTTTTTGAGTATGTGAAACATACTACCGTGCTAAGAGTTAAAGCTATACAAAAGACTGTAGCCCTGTTCCTGTTTGCACCTTCTTTCCATTGTGTTCCAACCTGCTTCCAGTTTCATTAGTTTTTGCACTATCCTTCCTTCCTATATTTCTGCTACACAAATGAGCAGATACATGTGTATTTACTTATATCTCCTTTCTTACAGGAAAGCTAATTACTGGGTAAATATTTTTTAAAAGACTAGGTTTGAGTTTTTTATTTGTTTTACTGAAAGGATTGCTTCTGTGGCTTTTGACAATGCAGTCATTGTTTGTTTGCGTCTATTTGCAAAATAAGTATCATTCTTTTATCCTTTCCTCACTTTGTAAAATGGATGGGGTTAACAAGTGAACCTTTCCCAGAAGTAAAGCATGCAAAAATATAAGCTGTTACTTTTTCTTTTTAAACATGTAAGGTATAATCTTCCTACCATTGGTAACACAGGAACAAGGTTCTTTTCCTTGAAGTTTTTTAGTCAACCAGGGACAATGAAGGGTGCGTTGGCCCTGTGAGGGTTTTGAGATAAAGACTAGAGGCATGGGGTTTCCCAGGTGGCTGTAAGTTCCGTGCATGCTAAGTTGCTTCAGTTGTGTCTGAGTCTTTGTGATCCCCTGGACTGTTGCTCACCAGGCTGTCCATGGGGTTCTTCAGGCAAAAGTACTGGAGTGGGTTGCAGTGCCCTTCAGATTGAAGGTCTGCTGACCCAGATCAAAGCTTGTATCTCTTATGTTTCCTTCATTGGCAGGTGGATTCTTTACCACTAGTGCATATTGGGCTGTGGATAAATAAGTAATTGCAAAAACAGTCATATAAATTCTTACTGTTCAGTAGAAAGATTTTCAACAGTGTTGGTAAATATAGATAATAGATTTAGTGGTCTTTGGACTTGTATTATGCTGGTTTTGTTTTTAGAAATGAATAGTTCAAGGTTGTTTTAATATAATTATAGTTTATATTTCAACCTCAGTATAGAGACAGGAAAGTGAGGCACATAGTCACATTTTACATACAGAAGTTGAAGCCTCGGAAGGTAGCTTGGTGGAAAGTTCCATTTTCACTTTAGCACAGTTTTCTGACCATGGTGCTGGTTAGTGAAAATGACTGGTATACTCCTTGTGGACCAACAATATTTTGTTTATTTTAAGCAAAACTATGCTGGATTGGTAAAGAATCCGCTGGCAATATGGAAGACATGGGTTCAGTCCTTGGGTTGGGAAGATCCCCTGGAGAAGGGAAAGGCTACCCACTCCAGTATTCTGGCCTGGAGAATTCCAGGGACTTGTATAGTCCATGGGTTTGCAGAGAGTCAGATACAACTGAGCGACTTTCACGTTCACGTTCATGCTGGGTATCTTTGGGATGGAGAGCATTTTACCCCAGGAATGAAAGTTGAATTCTCTATATCCAGGTAGCCTTTTCTTTCCATTTTGATAACATTTGTCAGAAAGCAATAATGAACCAGAACAGAACTGTTAATTTTTCTAGACAAAGAAGAATGGTATTTCAAGCAATGATGGCATGGCATTACTTAAATGACTAAAGATACATACACATATGTCTTGCATTACACATCTAGAGATTTATTGTGTGTTTTTAAGTTGTGTGCCTTTTGACTTTTTACCCTTTTACTTTCTCTACTTTTTAGTAAAAGAAATTCAGTGGACATGAGTTCTTAGATCTCAGAAAAACCTACCCCCAGTAAACCTTAATTTAATACAGTTTTTCTTTAAGGGCTCTTTGTCGCACTTGATTGATCTGGCCAAGAGGATAGAGCAATGAATCAAACAGATGCCTGTTTTTATAGGAATAACAAAATGGAATCTCACTGCTGTGTTAATCATTTCATGCCTATGTCTGATCCTTTCAATCAGGGGGAAAAATCACTTCAGTAACCCTCCTTGCTACCTTTAACTCTAAGATAGCCCCAAAAGGTAATCTCTCCTGGGGCTCTACTTTAGAAAAAGGGGGGTTTACGGAAGTACTCTGTATACCACTTCAGGTTTTTTCCTCTCCCTGGTATCAGATGCATGTACCCTCAGAGTGTATCTGAACATCACATAAAGCTTGAGAGAAGCTCTGTAACAACTCCTATTTACACTTTCCCATTGGATGACAAGTATCTGATTCATGCTTAGAGTCCTGAAAATGCTGATTATGTAAACCACTGCAGTAGTAACAGTCAAGCTTATGTTAGTGTGTGGATTTAATATTTGTGATGTGTTTGTTAATATTTCTCTACCTTGTCTTTGAAGCCTTTTGGATTGCAAGATAAGGAGTGTTCACTTTTTCTTAAGGCAATGTGAATGCATTTAAGAAGCACTGAGTAAAATTACATGTGACTGTGAGTTGTATTTTTCTAGATGAAACACTTATTAGAGGATTGGGGTTAATATTTTAAGCTCTTTGAATTTGCGAATGGATGATGAACCTAGTTGCCCCAGTGCCCTGCTTTGGGACTTGAGGGTGATTACACGTAGACTATCCCAGGGTTTCTAAGCAGATCCCTTCTAAATATTCAGCACCTACTTACATGGTTGAAACTGAAATCCAAGCACATTTCTTCTCTGACTTTCTTGCTCTTAATTGCTGTGTGCTTCTGTATCATTGACTAACATTTCTGTGCTAAATAATGTTTTGCCTGTTGACTTCTATTTTAATTTTGGGGACTGAATTACCCCCAGGAAAGTTCAGATTTCTCTTAAGAAAAACAATGAAATGCACATTGAAGATTAATGGCCTTTAAATTTACTATACATCTATAGTCATGAAAAACAATAGGTTAATTAGCTAAGAAAGGTAAACTTGTTTTGAAATGAGGTTTTGTTAAAGAATGGCAACATTTTGTCTTGACAGGTGTCTTGGTTGGTGGTTAGTTCTCCATAATTCCTAGAAAGCAAATCTTAATCAAATGGAGAGTCAACCTATTACTTAAACGTGGGACCTTGTGAAAACATGTACATACATAAACCAGATCTCTGTTGTAATTTAATGCTAAAAGCTATTGTTTTAAGTGAATATAAAGTTGACAAATTCTTCAGATCAGTACCAGAAAGTTCATAGTCATAGCATTTTCACGTTCGCAGGAAACTTTTTTCATCTAAAGCAGAACTTTTGAAATCTAGGAAAGCTGTTAACATGGCTGGAGTTACATATCTGCTAGTTAACACCAGCCTGAATTTTTAAATCATCTGTTCTTTGATGTACTATAATGTTAATATTTGTTTGGGCCTTTTGAGGTGTTCCCTGAATAGTAAATCCTCACTGGCATTCAGGAGAATATTTGGGTTTATCTCTCTCTCTCTCTCTCTCTCTCTCTCTCTCTCTCTCTCTTTTTTTTTGTAAAAATATTATCTAAATATAAAGAAAACTTCAGTATTCGTTTTATTCTGCCTCTGTAACACTATTTTTACCTTGTCGTTTTCTATGTACATTTTTCGTCACCACAATTGTATTAAAAATATTTTGGATTTAAAACTCTGCCTCAGGTGTTGAGTATTTAGGTTATTGATCCATATCATTTCAGTGACTGCCTTTATGTGTAAGATTTTGGGGGATGTTCTGTTAAACATTTCGTTATTTCTTTAAGATAGATTTTAAGAGGGAGTAACATACTTTGTCAGAAGATACAAGCATCTTTGCAGCTCATTGTTGTTCAGTCTCTAAGTCATGTCTGACTCTTTGTAACTTCATGGACTGCAGCAGGCCAGATCTCCCTGTCCTTGACTATCTCCCAGAGTTTGTTCAGACTCATGTCCATTGAGTTGGTGATGCCATTCAACCATCTTATCCTCTGTCGCCTCTTTTTCCTCCTGCTCTCCATCTTTCCCAACATCTGGGTCTTTTCCAGTGAATCAGTGCTTCACATCAGGTGGCCAAAGTACAACTCTTACACATACTTTCCAAGAGCAAATCAATGTGATTTTTAAGGCAGTGAGTACGTGAGCCACATATACCATGATTTTGGTGTCGTTGACTAATATAATTAGTTGTTCAAGGTACCTCAGTAAACGTATAGGGCATCAACAAGGAAGACAGAACGCTTTCCCAGTGTTTACTCATTGTGATTTACTCATGTTTCTTGTCTGTATTCCTTGATCTAGATTTTTGGATAATTTGTATTAAATTTTTAAAATCAGCTTCCCAATCTCTTGTTCTTTCTTGAGATTGCTCTCAGGCCTTCAGATACTTTGGCATTTTCTCCTGGTGGGTATAAAGATCAAAAAAAAAAATTCAGCGATACTGATAAATAGAATTTCAGCATCAAAATACTGGCTTCACTACATCCTGATAGCAGTTATAGGAAAGGGAGCATCAAAACACCCCAAAGGCAGTTTGAATGTAAGGAGGAGACAGACACCACAGCCGTTTTCTGATATCCCTTGGATAACTGAACTGTGGCTTTATTGCCAATACTTCATATGCTCCATGTGACTGACATCTCATGGCTGCCCCTACCCCTTTTAACCTATGGTGTGTGTGTTCAGTCGCTCAGTGACTCCATAGACTCTAGCCTGACAGGCTCCTCTGTGGAATTTTCCAGGCAAGAATACTGGGGCAGGCTGCTGTTTCCTACCCCGGGGGAATCTTCCTGACCTGGGGCTAGAACCCTGGGTCTCCTGCGTTGGTAGCCAGATTCTTTACCACTTGTGCTACTTGGGTAGCCCCCTTTTAACCTAGTAAATATCATTTGTTTTGAAATAGTAAAATTCAAAATTTTCCAGATTTTTTTCCCCCACCTCCATTTTTTCATTTTATATTTAAAATTCTAAGCGTATACAATTGACTCTTGAACAGCACTGGATTTAATCCACGTGTAGTGTATAGTTGGCCCACTTTATCCATGGTTCCTCCACATCACCAAATTCAACCAGCTAGAGTGTGTACTGCGTAGTAATGTAATATTTACTGTTTAAAAATAGCCACGTATAAGTGGACCCATGCAGTTCAGATTCAAAAATTGTTTGAAAGTCAATTGAATTTGATTTGTATAATCCAAACATTAGTTCCTACCTGGTAGCATTAGATAGTTATTAGTTACTCATTGACATTTTATTAATTATTTCTTTTATTATATATATTTAGTATAGTTTTCTAGGAACAAGCTTCCAACATATTCTGTGAAGTTAAACAGGTATTAACTACATTTAAATATACTCTTGTCTTCTACTGAACTTATATACCCTTCTTGACTTTTAGGTTGGAAACTTGAAGACTCTTGTTACTATGTAATTGTTTTGCTGTGCTTCCATTCCCTGGAATCATTAGGCCATTTCCCTCTCAGTGGGCACTTTACTACTTTTAGTCTGTTAAATATTTTAATTCCTCACCTCTCCTCTCCAAAGCAAAAGCTGATTGCTCAATTTTTTTTTTCCTCAGTCATACGAGGGTTTTGTTTGTTTTTTTTTTTAAGGCCTGAAAACGCTTTTATTTGGAATGTGTTAAGACTTCAGCCCAGGAGTCACAAATCCAAGAAATACTGAAATTGTGTTCCACAAATGAATTGTTTCTCAAGCTGCTCGTGAAAAATGTTAGGTGTTTCATTTAAATGAAACGGTGCTGCTTTTCAGGCTAATGCTACTGGTTAAATGTTGATGATATATTTTTGTTTTTCTTCTGTTAAGATCGAATCTGTTTCTCAGCCACTGGAAAACCACGGTGCCTCTGGTCATCCTTCAGAGTCACTGTCTGCTAAATCGTGTGGAGCGTTGAGACCTGTCAATGGAGTTATTAACACGTAAGTTTATCTCTTCTGCATACTTCTATATGCTCATCAGGCTTGTAAAAGATGAGTTTGAGGCTTAGTTATGCCTAGCCAGGACTAACCCTGCTTTAAAGAAGCAGAAACCTTATCACTTCATAATATTGTGCATGTCTCCTACTGTAGCAAGTGTATTTTAAGTAGCATGCTAATGTATTTTCCTGTTACTTGCTGTGGGCTAAAATTGTCCCAGTATGGAGAAAAATTGAAAGTCCTAAAGTTATTATGAATTATTGTGATTAGCTCTGTCTTTGTAGAATTCCCCAGAAGTAAAATCCTCTACTCTAGAACAGATTAGATTGCTAAAGGCTATAAATATAAATCTGTATTTTTGAAGGATAAGGACTCCTTCTGCAAGTAAACAGTGAGTACACATCCCTAATAGGCAAGATTCACCAATAGAACTGGTTCTCAGGCAGCTTATTAACATTTGCAAAAGTTCACCATTTTCTTACCAGTTATAATTCTCTAGACTTAAAATTTTATGTATTTGTTGTTGAAGAAAGCTGAAATCACTTAGAACCTCCTGAGTTCACTTACTGACCTTTGCATTTTTTAGACACGATAGGGTGACATCCACCAAAGAGCCTCACAAATAAGCAGACACTGCATCCCCATTTAGATTAGCAGACATAAGCATCAAGAGGTGATCTCTTTGTGCTCTAGAACACTTGTTTGTGTCTGTAAGCATTTACAAGTAGAGGTGGTTGAACCAATGTTAGAGGCTTTGTTTCTTTCCATCTTCTGTGAAGTAAATATTCTTCCTTCCCCTTGTGTAGTCTTCAGCCTGTCTTGGCAGACCACATTCCAGGTGACAACTCTGATGCTGAGGAACAGTTGCATAAAAAGCAACGACTGAATCTAGTTTCATCATCAACTGATGGCACCTGCGTGGCAGCCCGAACCCGTCCTGTGCTGAGCTGCAAGAAACGAAGGCTTGTTCGACCCAGCAGCATTGTGCCTCTTTCCAAGAAGGTCAGTACCAGTGAGACCTGGTCCTTGTTAGTGTGAGCCAGGTGCTCAGATAGAGGTACTAGTTCTTGCCAACTTTGGTTCGTTTAACCAGTGTTTTCCACACTTGGCTAACTAACAAGGCTTCCAGCAGAGTTTTAGGAGATACTTGGTTCCTGAGCCCTGTTTCCTAGAGATTCTGGTTCAGTTTGCTCTGTAGTTGGGCCTGGGAATCATTTTCAAAAAGCTAGAAAGCTCCTAGGTGACTCCTCAGCCAGGTTTGGAAACAGTTGGCTTGAGATTTTTAATAGAAGTGGGAGAGAGGAGATTGTGAGTTCTCCCATCAATTACATGGAGGAGAGCTGTATGTCTTCTTACTGTTTTCACTGAAAATGGCACTGTGGAATGCTTTACTTTTAAGAATCTCCATTAAAGAGAATCTCCATTAAAGTCTCTTATAGTTGATGATACTAAATGAATGTTTGTCTTCACAGACAAAATGGAAATTATTTTATCTACAGGAAACTTTTGATTGCTGACTCTTCAAATAGCAGGGTTGGATTTATTCTAAAACCAGTGAAATAGTACTCCAGTAAAAAAACAACAAACAAGGAGTGATTAAGAGCATTGACTCTGAAGAGGACAAATTGCGGTTTGAATTGTGGCACTGCCGCTTAATAGTTTTTGTGTGGAGCATGTTAACACCCCACTCCACCCCAGAATGCTTCGGAGATCTCATTTTTATTAATTCATTTATTCAACAACAACAACAAAAATTTTTGAGCTCCTCCAATAAGCTGTTACAGAGTTCTGTGCACTGGGGGGTACAACACTAAAAATAAACCAGACAAAAATTCTTACCCTTGTGAAATAATCTAAAGGGTAGAAACAGAAAATAATACATGAACATCTATTGTTTTATTTTCTGTTTCTACCCACTAAATTATTTCACTAGGGTAAGAATTTTTGTAGATGAAGTATCTGGCATGTTCTGTAGTGTTAAATTTGGTTTCCCTTGTGGCTCAGCTGGTAAAGAATCCGCCTACAGTGCGGGAGACCTGGGTTCAGAAGATCCCTTGGAGAAGGGAAAGGCTACCCACTCTAGTATTCTGGCCTGGAGATTTCCATGGACTGTATAGTCCATGGGTTGCAAAGAATCGGTGGTGACTGAGCAACTTTCACTTTCAGTAGTGTTAAGTGCTGAGGAGAAAAAGGCAGCAGAGGAGGAGAATAGAGAATGCTGGGAAACTCGGTTGGAATTCAGCCTTGAGGCGTTTTTTCATTCTAAGCCTTGGAGATGTGAAAGATAGGAGCCTGGGAAGGAATGACTAGTGAAGGAAAACAAGGAGATTGTGGTATATAGAAGGCAAGTGAGGAAAATGTTTCAGAAAGGAAGGCATGATCATCTGTGTTAGATGCTGAAGAAAGGTCAAATTAGATGAAGATTTAGACTTGACCATTCAATTTTGTGGGGCCAAGGTTGCCTGAGACCTTTGTAAGCAGTTTTGTTATCGGTAGAAGAGTGAAATTCTGACTGGATTAGGTTCTGAAGAGAATGGGAGGGAAGGAATTGAGCAAACCATCAGAGATAGCACTTTCAAAGAATGTTTCTGTAAAGGAGAATAGAGAAATAGCCGGTTTGAGGGGAATGTTTCTTAAGATAACACTATTGCAATATATTTGTCAGTGGGAAAACTGAGGACAATGAAGAGGCGGGTAATTGTTGCAACGATTACTATTTGGACAGTAGATTTTCAGTGTTTGACTTGTTTTGTTATAGTATGCATTTGGACTGTATGTCTTTGCTGTGATCTTTTTTAAAAAGGAAAGTATTATTAGTGAAAATTACCTATCAGGCTGTAATGTTTCTCTCGTCTCTTCCTCAGACTACCTGCATTACCAAATTACCAGAAAGGAATTTGCTGGGTTTCTCATATTGACATTTGAATCCATTTTTATTAATAGTTATATAAATCTAAATTATTTTCTGAAAGGCTGAAGAACTTATATTGGAAAAGCAAAGAAAACAGTATAATACTGTTAAGTATAAGAAAGTAGTTTTGGCCATGCCCTCGATGCTTTTAACAAAAACAAAGCCTACCAACATTGCCTCATGGAGAACGTGTTCTTTTTCTGAAGTTATAGGATAGCCTCCTGGACTCTTCTATCTGTGAAGTAGCAAGGCTTCTTGTTGCTCTTGACAGTAGTTTTCTTCCTGTTCATGCCTAAAAACTGGTGTACTTTTGAAGGTACCTATGTGTATTCAAAATAAGGGGGAAACATACAAAGCATACTAAAGATCCTTTGGTCCAGTGCCAGTGTCTAAAACAGAATCTTCCTGACATATGCAGAAATAAGCTACATGGGAAATAAGACAAAGAAGGAATTTTTGTTTGGGAAATAAACCATCTGCTGATTTTTAGCAGTTATGCTGGAGTTCTGCCCTAGTTGGAGACAAAGGCCATTCTCTCTCTCTTAGTTGCTCACTGTGTCTCCAGTGGATCCTTGATTAGTGATACTGAGCGAGTATATTGCCCTCTCATTTGGTGATGGATTTGCCAAGCAAATTTATTCAGCAGTTTGGGGTCCCCTCTGTGTTCCAGGACACCTGGGCTTCCTTGGTGAACAAAAGCCATTGCCCTTGTGGAGCTCACCTAGTGGCAGAGTGTTCAGAGACCACCCAGTGCTTTGAACAGGAGCCTCTGAACTTTTATGGGATTATAAGACACATACAAAGTTTTGGAAGGCTGATATAAAATAAGTAGAAGTAGAAGCTCTAATATTTTATTTACCAACTGTCCTCAAGCCAAAAGAATTTTTTTTAATACTTTGAACTGATATTCTGTGATTAACAGATAATGGTGAATAGAGCCTTTAATAGTGGACTTCCACCATAACCATTGCATTGGATTTGTAATGGGAAATCCTTCATAGAGAATTAATACTGTTACAATGTTAAGGGAACATAGAATTTCTTTATGTTTCCAAGTATTTTATCTCTTCACTCAGTTCTTACATGTTATCTATATTCTTGTTACTTTGGTCATGTGAAATGAGATCTTTTCTGTTAGTGTTATTTTATAAATGATGTTGATTTTTAGGTATTTATCTTGAAATTGAACACTTTTCTGAACTCTTCCAGTGTTTTTTGGTTGATCTTGGTTTTCTAGGTTGGCTTTCTGTCATCACACAGTATGACACCTTGTTATTTACTACTTACTCCTTTTCCTTGTCTGGATTCACTTTTAGAACCGTGTTAAGAAATAATTGGTTGTAGTGAGACATTTCTGGTTTGAATGGCAATGCTTTTAGAAGGTCACTATCAATTTTGATGTAGGACAGCTAAAAATGAATTGGGACACTTACAGTATTGTTGTCTTCTCTTTCTTGATCAGTCTTGTCAGCAATTTTTCTATTTTATTGGTCATTTCAAAGATCAGTTCTTTGCTGTTAACTCCTTCCTGCAGTCTTGGTTTTTCTCACCCTCTCTGCCTTCATTCAAATGCTTAGTTAATTTATTTTTTGTTCTTTGTTACATAAGAACAAAAGCATTTAACTTTTTGAATTTTCTTCTGAGTGTAGTTTTGGGTAGCATTCCACAGCCTTTGATATGTGAAGGAAGTGTTTTTTCTGCTATTTGTAAGTTGCCTTTGAGTTTTTTAGTTTTTTTCCCAGGAGTTAAGAATTGAGTTTTTAGATTCTGAATTGTTAGTTTTTCTTTTTAAGTGTTTGTTATGAACTATTAATTTTTATAGCATCTTGGTCAAAATGTTTCTATAGTTTCTGCTTATGTTTGTGGTCTGTTGTGTTGATTTTTAAAAAAACTGTCTAGTACAGTTTAATAAATTTATGTCCTCTTTGTGTGACTCCTGTCTCCAGTAGTTTTTTTGTCTTTCATTTTACTTTTCTTAATACTAATGTTTAGTTGTACGCATTTTTCTCAGTTGTATGCATTTTTCTCATTAAATTTAAATAAATTTAATGTTTTGTTTTCTATATGGTTTTTGAAATAACATAAAAGTATACTTATTTAAGATGATTTTGATAACAGTATTTCAGCGTGTGTTGAATGTCTTCATATACCTTTTATTTTTTTGCTGCACTGGGTCTTAGTTGCAGCATGTGGGGTCTAGTTCCCTGACCAAGGATCAAACCTGGGCCCCCTGCATTGGGAGCTCGGAGTCTTTACCCAGTGGACCAGGAGGGAATTTCTTTATGTGAGTTTTGAATTTGAATTTGTGGTTCTTCAGTGATTTTAGCAACAGTTTGTATTTCAAGTTCTCAGATCATAATTTTTGTCCCTTAAAACTCTTCCTTGTGTCTTTTGGTCGGCAGAAGAGAGCAGTTGTGTGCTGTATTTTGTTTTGGCCAGTCTTAGTTTCTCTCCTTCTTATTGGTAACTGATTTTACTCTGTGCTGTCCAGTATGGTATCCACTGTCCACATGTAGCTATTTAAAATTAGAATTAAAAAATTCAGTACATCACCCACACCAGCCCCATTTCAAGTATTGAGTAGTCATATGACTAGTGCTAACGTGTTTAGTTGCACTAATACGGAATATTTTTATCATTGCAGCACTGCACCAGACTGTGCTTCAGAGTGTTTTTATGTGTCTCTGTTTCTTTTCTGTTGTTATAGAAGAAATGTGGTGACACTTTGGGTTTTTTATTCTCTTAAGTTTGTAGTTGCCTCTTTTAAGTATACCAGTTATCAGTGTTATTGTTCCCTTTTCTTTTTTCCTAGCTCTTACTACCTGCTCTCCAACATTGTTGTGATCATTAAATTAGATCCCTGAAGTGACTGGCATATTTTGAACACAGATAATAAGTATTCAGATGTTAGCTAGCTGTTAACTTCTCTCTCACTGTCTTCAGCCCTTTGGTTCTCCCATAGTGCAAAGGAATGACAGTTAAGTTTATATTTATTGTGTCATCTTCTTGTCCTTTTACTTTACTCTCTTACTTTATAATAGAGGCTGAGTTATCTTATACTCTTTTTTTTTTTTTGAGACACCAGAAGTTT